AGCTGGGACACAAACTGGTGCCTGTATGGGATGCCAATGCCTTCAGGCAGAATAGCCATTTGAATCATTGTGCTGGCCCCTAGAATATGTTTATTAGCAGTTCAAAATATCTAGTTCCTCTGTAATAGTAAAATGTAGGAGAGGCAAAATCTTTTTGGTTTATGGTTTATATTTTTACTTTTTAAATCATTATTATCACTTTATGATACAGGCCCATAGGCTCTGGGATTTCCCTTCCCCTCCCCCCACTGAGTTCCCCTGTATTATTACTATAGCATAGTTCTTCATAAACAGTCATGTGTCCAGCGTATAGGCATGGACAATGGCAGAGAGTCCAGCATCCTGTTGTCAAGATACAATAGACAGCTTCATTGGGAGTCCATCTTTGATCTGGAATTAGAGATGCATACTACAGTGTATCCTCACATCTGGATATGACAGTCTCCATTACACAGTTACTATTCATCCCCTTAACTGAAAAGCCACAAAACAAAATCAACAACAGGAAGAAAAATAGAAATTTACAATGCCATGAAGTTAAATAACATGCTACTGGATATGATAGTCTCCATTATACAGTTTCTATTACAGCCCCTTAAATGAAAAACCACAAAATATCAACAACAGGAAGTACAATGACTAAGAGTGAAAGACGAGACAGAGGCACAGTGAGTATTACTGAAGACTCCCCTGCAAAGGAGCAAAAAGTCTGCCAACCTCAGAGTTAACTGAGGAAGACATTGAGAAAATGGGAGATACAGAATTCAAAACACTTGTTATAAAGCTTCTTATCAACAGTGAGAAGCACGTAGTACAGGAGTTTAAGGAATTTAAGGAATGTGTCACACAGGAAATGAATTAAATGAAAGCTGATATGTCAGAAATGAAGAATACAGTGGAGCAAATTAAAAGTACAGTGGAGCATCTCCAAAATAGAATAAAGGAGGCAGAAGAATCTCAGGATTGGAAGATATTTCTTGTCACCAGGGGGAAACAAACAAAAAGCTGGAAGCACAGCTGAGTCAAGCTAAAAAAGAAGCAAGGACTGAAAGACACTATTAAAAGGCCAAATATAAGAGTTGTGGGAGTCCCAGAAGGGGCAGAAAGAGAAGCTGGGTTTAAAAAGTTATTTAATGAAATAATAAGGGAAAAATTCCCTAATTTAAAGAATTGGTAAACAGCATGCAGGAGAGGCACAGAACTCCCAACAGGGCTGACCAAAAGCAATCTTCACCACGACACATGATAATCAAGCTCTCTTTAATTGAACATAGGGAAAGATCCTTAAATGTGCACATGAAAAATTAATTGACATATAAAGGAATGGCAATTAAACTCACAGGCAATCTTTCACAGGAAATTATAAGCCAGAAGAGAATGGAGCGATTCTATTTATACAATGTTCTAAATAGGAGCAGTTCTATTATAGAATATTCAAGCTACTCCTCCTTCTCTGAGTTTACTTTTAGTTGTTTTTAGTAAAGTTAATCTGCAAATATACAGGTGGTTCTGGTCCCCACATTTTTTAATGGAAAAAGTTAGCTAGAAACTGAGATCTCAGACTCCTTAGATTTGGAGAAACCACTTTTACTTTATTCCTCCCTCCCTTCCTCCCTTCCTTCCTTGCATTTGAAAGTCAGAGTACAAAGAAAAAAAAAAAAAAGGAAGTCAGAGTAGGGAGAGGAGACAAAGAGATGTTCCATCCACGGGGTTACTCCCCCAGATTGTTGCGAGGCAATAGGCAGGCCAGAGCCAGGAGCTAGGGGCTTCTTCCATGTGGGTACTGGGGGCCCAAGGACTTGAGCCATCTGCTTCTGCTTTTCCTAGGCCGTTGACAGGGAGCTGGGTTCAAAGTGGCGTACCAGGGACATGAACTGGCACTTATAGGGGTTGCCAGCAGGCAACAATTTTATCCAACTGTACCACAATACTGTCCCTTCTTTCTTCTTTCTTTCTTTCTGTTTAGAGATTTATTTGTTTATTTATTTGAAAAGCACAGTGATGAAAGAGAGAGAATGAATGATGAAAGAATCACCTATCCTCCGGTTTGCTTGATTCCCTCTCCAGATGGTCACAACAACCAGGCTGGATTAGGCTGAAACCAGGAGCCAGGATCTCCATCAGAATCTCCCACGAGAGTGACAGGGCTCCAAGCACCTGTGCCATCATCCGCTTCCTTCACAGGCATGATAGCAGGAAGCTGAATCAGAAGTGGAGCAGCCAGGACTTGAACCAGTGTCCAACATGGGAGGCTAATCGGCTCTGCAAAAAGCAGCTTAGCTCACTGTGCCACAGTGTCAGCCCCAGAAACCCATTTTGAACCTTTAAATGGATATAATGCATTAAATTATTGAGCCCTATGTAATCCTGGACACAGTCACGTACCAGTTGATCAAATAAAATGGTAGAGTTCAAAACACAACTTTTAGAACTCAAGCCAGAGAGAAAACTTGCCTTGACCCCAGTTGCTGTTCCAGATGAAAGGGCAGGATGGACCTTGCTGTGTACATCACTGGGTCATCAGTGGCCCTGGGGTCACGGGAGTTCCACTTTGTATCCAATCAGTTAAAAGGCAAACTTTAGCTAGTCCAACCCTGGCTGTTGTGGGCACTTGGGAATGAGCCAATAGAAAGAATATAGTTTTTGAATTTTATTTTTTATGATGTTTACTCAGAGTGGGAAGAATTGAGGACTAGGGAAAGCAAGTGGAACCACTATTTGTACACCTTCCTTATAGAATGAATATTTATCTCTCTTTTTCTTTGTCACTTTGCCTTTCAAATAAGTATATAAAAAATTGGAAAGGATGAAAAAAAAAGACAAACTTTAAGGGCCTGGCAAAATATCCTACTAGCTAAATCCTCACTTTGCATGTGTTGAAGTCTCCATTGGGTACCAGTTTGTATCTTGGTTGCTCCGCTTTCCATCCAGCTCCCTGCTTGTGGCCTGGGAAAGCAGTTGAGAACAATCCAAAGCCATGGGACCCTGCACCTGCGTGGAAGACCCGGAAGAAGCCCCTGGTTCCTGGCTTCAGATCGGCACAGCTCCAGCCATTGTGGCCACTTTGGCAGTGAACCAGTGGATGGAAGATCTTTTTCTCTGTATCTCCTTCTTTCTATAGACCTCCCCTTCCCAATAAAATCTTTTTAAAAAAGATTTCTTTATTTATTTTTACTTTGGGGGGATGGGAATTCAGGTATACAGAGAGAAGGAGAGACAGAAAGATCATCTGTTGATTCACTCCCCAAGTGGCTGCAATGGCCAGAGCTACGCCCAACCCAAAGCCAAGAAGCTTCCTTCCAGGCCTCCCACGTGGGTGCAGGGTCCCAAAGCTTTGGGCCATCCTCGACTGCTTTCCCAGGCCACAGGCAGGGAGGTGTATGGGAAGTGGAGCTGCTGGGGATACAAAGCAGTACTCATAGAAGACTTCAGTGCATGCAAGGTGAGGATTTAGCTAGTAGGATACAGTGCTGTACCCAAAATTAATAAACCTAAACAAAACAAAACGAAACAAAAAAACCAACAACAAAACAACTTTAAAGAGGTCACGTTTTGTAGGATTTATTTGAGCTCAGAAATGAAGTGTAGCCGATCAGTACAGTTTTAAGGAATTCCAACTAGAAACACAGAGAGAAATAGAGAAAGGAAGTAGCAGCCAGAAACACCCTATTTGGTCACAGCTCGGTGTTTGCTGTGTTTGGACAAGTCTGAGTTAGATGCAGCTTGTGATGGGCTGGGGGCTGGGCTGCCAAAGGCTGCTGTATATGCAGTGTCATCTAAGAGAACATTAGATGACCAACACTGGCACAGAAAGCCAACCTGCCACCTGCAGTACTGGCATCCCACAAGGGCACTTCTGATTCAGCTCCCTGCTGCTGTGCCTGAGAAGGCAAGTGCTTGACCCCCTACTTGCCGTGTAGGAAACCTGGAGGAAGCTCCTGGCTTCTGGTTTCCAATAAGCCCAGTTCTGGCTATTGTGGTCATTTGAAAACTGAACCAGCAGATGGAGGAAGGTCTTCTCTCTCTCTAACTCTACTTTTAAAATAAATAGGACCCAGTGCAATGACCTAGTGGCTTAGTTTTTCCTTGCATGCATCAGGATCCCAGGTAGGTGCTGGTTCGTGTCCTGGTTGCATCACTTAAAATCCAGCTCCCTGCATGTGGCCTGGGAAAGCAGTGGAGGATGGCTCAAAGCCTTGGGACCCTGCATCAGTGTAGGAGACCCAGAGGAAGCTCCTGGCTCCTTGCTTTGGATCAACTCAGCTCTGGCCATTGCGGCTGCTTGGGGAGTGAATCATCGGATGGAAGATCTTCCTCTCTGTGTCTTCTTCCCTCTGTATATTTGCCTTTCTAATGGAAAAAAAATTTTTTTAAATAAATAAATCTTTTTAAAAAGAAAATATTAGAGGCTATCTTCCCCACAGCTTGGAAGTTTACTCTGAGGCAAAATACAGACTGAGAAACGTTTGAAGTGTTGCATGTCTGTGGAGGGATTCCATATGCATGCTGAAATATACTGCTGTTTAATGCAAAACAAAAAGAACAGTATTGTGAGCCTTTAGTAATTTTAATTTTTTAAAAAGATTTATTTATTTATTTGGAAAGGCAGATGTACAGAGAGGAGGAGAGACAGAGAGGAAGATCTTCCGTCCGATGATTCACTCCCCAAGTCCGTAACGGCTGCTGCTGCGCTGATCCGAAGCCAGGAGCCAGATCTTTCCGGGTCTCCCACATGGGAGCAGGGTCCCAGTGCTCTGGGCCGTCCTCGACTGCTTTCCCAGGCCACAAGCAGGGAGCTGGATGGGAAGTGGAGCTGCCAGGATTAGAATCGGCGCCCATGTGGGATCCCAGCACGTTCAAGGCAAGGACCTTAACCATTACGCTATCGTGCCAGGCCCAATAATGTTAATTTTAAACATTTAATGTTTTATATCATTTGTACATGTGATATTTTTCAAAAGCTAAAAGATATTTTTCAAAATTTACTGACTTATGTGAAAGGCAGAGAATCAGAGAAAAAGAGAGGCACTGCCTCTGATGATTCACCTGTGGTATGCCCATACAGCGGGGCCTGGGTAAGGCTGAATGAAACCAAGACACAGCAATGCAGTTGGGACTCCTAAGGAAGTAGCAGCAACTCTACTCTCAGCATCACTGCCGTCCAGAGTGTGCGTTTGCAGGAAGAGGGAATGAACTCAGGAAGCCCAGTAGGGGGCGTGAGTGTGCTAAGATTGTTCCAAGTCTGATCGAATGTCTCATAAAGCTGTTTCAAGAATCGTTTCATTGTTACATTTTATTGACAGCTGATACAGAATAATCTTTTAAAGAATTGTACAAAAAAAGAACAAAATTTCACACCAAAAAGCCTAGAAGAATTAAAGAACTTTTTTAAAAAATTGAAAGTCATAAAAGTAGCAAAACAGGGACCAGGGCAGTGGCTCAATTGACTAATCCTCTGCCTGCAAGCACTGGTATACCATATGGGCAAAGGTTTGTGTCTTGGTTGCTCCACTTCTGAGCCTGCTTATGGCTTGGGAAAGTAGTGGAGGATGGTCTAAAGCCAGGGCTCCTGGCTCTTGGCTTTGGATCAGCTCAGCTCTGGCCATTGTGACCATTTGGAGAACGAACCAGTGGATCAAAGATCTTTCTGTCTCTTCTTCTCTCTATAAATTTATCTTTCCAATAAAAATTTTAAAATTTTTAAATAGAAAATTAACCGAAGTACGTATCTCAAGTAATACTTTAGCTACTATGAATTTTCCCTGATGGGAATTAAAGTCACTTCATATCCCTGTTATATTCCTGTCCCTGTTATAGAGTGACTAAAGCTATCCCATAGACCCCATGATTTGGATGTAAATGCTTTTGCTGTTACACATTTTAGGGACTGAATATTGCTATCCTGGGACCTACCTTTCAAGATCTGGCAAGCAATGTGAACCGAAATATCAGCAGTCTTTCCCAAATTTTTGTGGGCCGTGCCTTTGGATATCTGAGTGGTTCTGTCATTGGTGGAATACTCTTTGATCATATAAATCATTTTTTACTTTTGGGTAAGTACATGCTAATTTTCCCTTCTTTGTGATTTTCAGTGAATTCACAGTTTGCCTTTAAAGATGACAATGGCAACTGGAATGGGAGGTGCTTGGTGGCCTTGGTGGCAGTTGGGTTTCCTGGGCAATTACAGTTACACCACAGACAGGCTTGTTAAATCCTTGGCTCCATAACCCAGGCACTGTCCTCACACAGCTCTGCTTCTCAGGGAAGGTGTGGGGCTCTGTGAAGCTGCCCCGGGCTGACCCCTGGTGGGGCAGGGATGGAGACACTAAGAGAGGCGACATGTTTGCCCTTGCTGTCATGTGTTGGTGACTGCCCCAGACTGTCTGACCTCATCCTGCAGCAGTGACATAGCAAAGCCATGAACACATCACTGAATAAACGACCATGCTTTTTTAAAATAATGCATGTATTTTGCTTTTGGTGATGTTTACATAGTTATATACGCATGTGGACCACAGATTAGGGTGGGGAGGATCAAGGAATGGGGGGAAGTGGATGAGACAACTGTTTCCAGTCTCCCTTTTTCTTCTTGCATCTTGGAAAAGTGGGGCGAGAAGGGCAGAGGGCCGCTCCCAGCAGCCCAGTCCCAATCAGTGCCTGGGGATGAAGACTGGCTGCCCAGTGCCATTGCAGGGCCCCGCTGTGGATCATGCTCCAAGGGTACTGCTTGAGTGGTTTGATTGTTCTGAGATGCTACTGATTTTGTTGCTCCAATGTGGAGGAAATCCTTCCAATGTCCATTGGCTGATATAGTCCACCTTCGCGTCTCCACTTGCCCAGATACTTGTCAAAGCTTGACTAGGAGAGTTGTCCAACCTGTCATGCCCTCCGCGGTACGAGACACCCTCTGCAGGCCTCCTGTGTGCGTGTGGGCATGCTAAACAGCCATGTTTAATGAGAAGATGGTTTAATGTGCTAGAATTCATTTGGAAGCAAAGAGAATAGTTTACTGTTAGTAAATTAAAATGCTTTTTTTTCCCCCAAAGTGAGTTAAAAGAATATTTTTTATTTACCTCTTTAGCCCCCAAAGTAATGTGTCTACTAAAATCTACTAATTTTATTTGCATTTTTAATGTTTTACTGATATCTCTAAAAAATCTTCTTGTGTTCTTCTATATGAAACATTGAAATAAATAAAAGTTTGGGTTTTTTTTGTTTGTTTTGTGATAAAATTTGCCTCATATAATTTATAGCCTAATTATTACCAGTACTAGCGCCAGGTTCGCAGTTTTGGAAGCTTTGGTGCCACCGACCATGACGGCAGGAATGGTGCTTCCAGAGGCTGACTTTTTGACCTGTCTCCTCAGGGGTGTCCATGTTGGCTACCACCGTTGGGCTGTACCTCATCCCTTTCTGCAGGAGAGCTGTGTTGCTGATTGTCGTGATGTCCATCTTCGGTGTTACTTTTGGGATTTTGGATACAGGTCAGTGAGCCCCTGGTGTCATCTCTGGGAGCAGGAACTTTGTGCTATAGCAAAGCTGTCGCCTGCAGTGCCTCCCAGCATCACACAGGTGCCCTGAGGTGGGATCACCCAGTCAGAAGCACCCTTCTGACAATTGCTTTTGCTAATCAGGGGCCCTAGGTTTGAGCAACCAACTGTGAAATGAATTTAAAGAATTTTGTCCTAGGAAAGAATTGTTCATAACATGAAAGCAGGGCGGGAACTGCTGTGTGTTGGTGGGGAGAGGGGTGGTTGATTACACCACACACGAACAGGCTTTTCTTCAGGAGAAAACTTGACCATTGCAAAGTAGAAGGGACTGATGATTTATTAGGTTGACTACGTTTGGAATTGTTATTTTGGCAAGAAAATACACAAACGTCCATCCATTATGAAATGCATTGTGCCATTGCAACTGAGGGAAATCCTCGCTGTGCAGTACTCTCCTCTCCATGTGATTATCAAGAAAATGTATTACATAAAATGCATGGCGGTAGTTTGCCCTTAAAAATCCAGCTTCCTATCAGCCCTTTCTTGCTCTAATTTTACTTTTAAGATCAAGAAAATATTTTGTACTTCAAGCTAAGCTTGCTTATGAAAATGCAGGGGACAATTATGTGTGCGTTTGACATGATCTGTTAAGGAAAAAGATGCTTCAACGCTGGTGCTTTTGGCCCTTCCCCTTGTTCAGAGTTGAGTGCATGGTAAATAGTGCCTTGTTTCCTGTACAGGGCCAATCAGAATGCTGGAGCCTTCTACACACGTGTTTTGCATCTACATTATATGTAAACACAAAACTATTCCTTGAGTGATTACTAATTCCAAGTACTAAGAAAGTACATAGAAGCTTTGATGATTGGGCCATGATCTGCTACCAAATCTTTGCCTGTTAAGTATGTATGTGTGTATACCAGTCAGTGTATATGTACACATGTGTTTGGAAGTTGGGACGCCTGTGTTCCACTGCAGAGAGCTGCACCTGATCTCAGCTCTGGCTCCTGCTTGCATCTTGCGTTGATCGAGAGCCTGGCGAAAACGATGGTTTGGGTAATTGTGTTGCTGCAAACTGCATGAGGGGTATGGACTGAGTTTTATTGTTTCCCCCTAAGCTTTATGTTTCTTTTTTATTTTAAACAATTTATTGCTATTTGGAAGGCAGGGCTATAAGAGAGGGGAGTGACAGAGAGAAAGATCTCCTGTTTGCTGGTTCAATCTCCCATAGCTGGAGCTGGGTTGATCCATAGTCAAGAACTTCTTCTGGGTCTCCAGTATGTCTGCGAAGTGCCAAGGACTTAGGCCAGCCCTCTGCTACCTTCCCAGACCATAAGCAGGGGGCAGGTTCAGAAGTGGAGCAGCTAGAACTAAAACTGGTGCCCATATGGGTTGCTGGAGCCAAGAGCAGAGGTTTAGCCTGTGGTGCCATGGTGCCAGCCTTCCCCCTGAGCTTTATGTTTATTGCAAGCATGGAATATGAGGGCCAGCAGATGCAACCTATCTATTTTTGTTGTTTTATTTTCAAATAAATCACTAAAATAAATGTATATATTTAAAATATAAATATGTGTTGTTCTCCCAGTTTCTGGATAGAACTGTATCATGGACTGCAATAGTGGTTTACTATTCTATAGATTCGACCTGGGAGGAGGTAGTATTATGATGCTGAATTCTTTGGTAATGGTGAGTTACAGTTCCTTGACCACAGAATTCACTTTGGGGGTCAGTGTTGACAAATAGTGAGTGAGGCCAATGCCTACAATACCAGCATTCCATAAAATATGGGTTATAGTCACAGCTGCCTCAATGCATACAGCGTCCTGCTGGGAAAGCAGCTGATGGCAGCCCAAGTACAGGTCCTCTGCCATCATGTGGGAAATCTAGATGAAGCTCCTGACTTTTGGCTCCAGCCTGGAACAATCCTTGTTGCAGCTATTAGAGAAGCGAACAAGTGGATGGAGGATCTCTCTTTCTCTTCTCCCCCGAAAAAGCCCTTCAAAAAAGAGAGAAAAGGAAAGAAGGAAGAAAGGAAGCAAAAAATTGACTTTGTTGCTATGTTTGACACCACAGAATATTCTGGTGCTTGTGACGTGAGAAGTAGACCCAATCCTTTTCTGCAAATTGAACTTTTTGTCCCTAAGTTACTGTTTGACTTAATCGTTTTCCCCATCTTTCATTGGTAGGTGGTAATGTGCTTATCTTGGCTCTGTGGGGCGACAAAGGAGCCCCACACATGCAGGCCTTGCACTTCAGCTTTGCCTTGGGCGCCTTTCTGGCTCCCCTGCTAGCTAAGTTGGCCCTGGGTCCGACAGCATCTGCTGGAAACTACACGGAGCCGGAGCTTCATCTCCCCACCCTCAACCAGTCATCTGAAGTGGACTCAGGCCCTCTCTTTGGAGTCCCTGAAAACTTGAATTTACTGTGGGCTTATGCTGTCATTGGGGCTTATGTTTTTGTAGTTTCTTTCTTTCTGTTTGCTCTGTTTTTCAAGAAAAGTTCAAGATGGGAAAAAGCAAAAATGTCTACGAGGACGTCTAAAAAGGCGACATACCACCACAGCCTCCTTTGCCTCCTGTTTGTGTTCTTCTTTTTTTACGTTGGCGCCGAGGTCACGTACGGCTCTTATGTGTTCTCATTTGCAACCACCCACGTGGGCATGGAAGAGAGTGAGGCAGCCGGCTTGAACTCCATCTTCTGGGGCACCTTTGCGGCCTGCAGGGGCCTGGCCATCTTCTTTGCGACGTGTTTGCGGCCAGGGACCATGATTGTGCTGAGCAACATTGGCAGCCTGGCCTCGTCTTTGTTCCTGGTGCTTTTTGACAAGAGCCCGATTAGCCTGTGGGTGGCGACCTCGGTGTATGGGGCATCGATGGCAACCACGTTTCCCAGCGGTGTTTCCTGGATTGAGCAGTACACGACCATCCATGGGAAATCGGCAGCATTCTTTGTAGTTGGTGGTACGTTGGGAGAAATGGCTATTCCGGCGGTAGTTGGGTTTCTTCAAGGTCAATATCCTGATTTGCCTATTATTCTGTACACGTGTTTTGGGTCAGCAATATTCACTGCTGTTTTATTTCCTGTGATGTACAAATTAGCCACCTGGCCTCTTGCTCGCCAGCGCAAGGAGCACAGAAAGAGTGAGGACCAGCGAGTTTACTCTTTACTTGTGGCTGGAATATGAGGATGCAAATGAAGATGAAGACACAGAAAAATGGAATGAGATGGATTTTGAAGTGGTAATAGAGGCATCTAGGAATTCTGTAATGGAGCCGGCATTAGAGGTCTCCAGCCAGTTTCTTGCAGACTCATGGGTGCCGGAGGCCTCTCCACTTAAGACTGGCAGTTCATCTATGGAGCACCTTGCTGGAAACCAGAGTGGAAGGGCCTGCCCCTGAGAGCAGGTGTATCCTGTGCTGACATCCTTGGCAGTCACCGCTGGGAAGGGCCTGGCAGGGGTGAGCCTGCACAGGTGGGCAGCCTGCTTCTGGCATGTGCTTTTCCAGGTCCCCTCCTAACAGCTGATGCCACCAAGTGTTGACCTGTTTGCTGCTCCCAGATGCCTTTCTAAGCAGCCCCGTGGTCTCACATGGGAGCATCTTGTTAGGAAGCTGGTGTTTGGCATGGGGTTGGCCAGATAGTGTTTTAATGTCTTTCTTCCTCAGAACATGCAAAGAAGGCATTTATTTTTGAGAATATGGGTGCTGTTCTAATAGGACAAAGTCCTGTAGAGGTTGAGTTGATTTGCTGAACAAATGAGCGTAGTGCCAGGGAAGAGGAAATGGGCAGCTTTGGTGAATGGATGACTTTGTCTTGCCTGGGGTGACTAGAAGAATGCTAATGATCATGTTTGAGCATCTATGAAGAGAACCCAGTGTAGGGCCTGAGACCTGGCTGCAAGGCCTGACTTTTCCTCTGTGTTTGTAATTATTCCCTTGCTGTGTGATTTCTAGGAATGAAAAGGAGATGATTTTTGTGTAAGGTGTCTCTTAGTAATTAAGGTGAAGCTACTTCAGCCCTTTGTGGAAATGGAATTAAATGATTAGGTTTATTATGGTACAAAGATAATTAAAACTCATACATATGGTTTTCTTGATAGTCGCTCCAAATGATCTCTGTGAAAACCCCTTTGTGACTTCCAGCCCATTCTTCTTGAGAAATAAAGCAAAAGTTATGTTAGGAATATTTAGTATAAATCTTAGTCATTGTACTCAATTTACTTTTTTATATGTTATTGAAGTCATATTCTGAATGTTGCTTTTTTTCAAAGACTTATTTTTATTTTTATTGAAATGTCATATTACAGAGTGGAGGAGAGACAGAAAGAAATATCTTTATCCATTGATTCACTCTTTAAGTGGCAACAATGGCCAGAGCAGAGCCAATCCGAAGGTGCCTCTACTAGGTCTCCTACATTGGTGCAGGGTCCCAAGGCTTTGGGCTATCTTTGAATGCTTTTCCAGGCCACAAACAGGGAGCTGGGGAGCAGGGCTTCCAGAATTAGAACAGACGCCCGTTTGGGATCCCAGAACTCACAAGGTGAGGACTTTAGCCACCAGGTTACTATGCTGGGCCTAGAATGTTGTTTTAATACTGAACTTTATTGATATGCCTTTCTCCAACTTACGATCTCTGAAATCAAGATATATCTTACCATCAATGATTATTTAACATTTTGACAATGTTTATTTCAAAATCCCTTTAGTTGCTCCTGCATGACATGTGTTGGCATTCTATAATCAGTGTCTTTGATTTCTGTGAAATATACTACTTTATTTCATAATGGGGATGACAGTATTTTTCGATAGTTTTTCCTAAGTCCTTTTCTTTGCTCATTTTCTAGTCCATATAGGATTTGGGGACCCTAGTGTGAGTGTAGCCTGTGCTTCAGCGCTGCCCTGTGAGGACTAGGGCTGAGAGTAGTCTTCAGAGGTCCCTGCTTAGCACAGTTTCAGAGGCTGCCTACAGCCTTGTCCTCAGGAGTGGCCCACATGGATGTTGTGCGTAAGCTCATGGTGAACACAGTCTTTCCCAGAGATCAGAATACTTGTGTCACTCTGTCCTGAGTTTGATCTACCCATGGAGCTGAAGTGAAGATTTGAAGGGGACTTGATGACCTGGGAGTCAGGGATGGGACGGGTACTTCCTATGAGCGTTACAGCCCTGGGTGTGAGGTAGAACCAATGCCAGGTTCTGTCTTCATCTCTGCATGTCTTACGCTGAGTAACACCTAGCATGTGTCTGCCACGCGCTGTTGCTCTCTCTTACGGGCATTCTGTGAATCCGTGCAACTTAGCAGCTTCATGACCATTTCCTGTTCACTCCACCTGGGCAGCAGGTGTCTGTTGATGAGTAGACCATTCATGGAAAGCTCACAGCTTAGAACCAGAGATTTATGTTATCTCTCCATTGGTGTGGGTTGGCAAGCTGGCATGACTGTTCCGGGTTTCTGTCCTCAGTGCCCCAGGGCTGGAGTCACCGTTAGCCAAGGCCACCTTCTCACTGGAGCTCAGCTCCCCTTTAAGGGCCATGAGCTTTGGCAGAATTCACTTTCTTGTTTTTCAGACTGGGATGACTGTCAGCTGGGCACTGCACTTTGAGTCTTCCCATGTGCTCTGCCCCATAGCCTCTCTCAGGACCCCTCACCCTGGGCCAGTGTCCGTCATGCCTGCAGGAGGATCTTTACCCTCCATCTGTATCTGCTAAATGAGTCTTCTATAACGGAATGGCACAGTGTGGCAGAGGGTGGCATCCTCCTGCCTTTGCCACAGTCCTCCATAACAGGCTTGTCACAGCTTCTGCCCAGACTGAAGATGGAGGTGACAATAGAAGCATGTGCCTCTTGGGGGCCATCTCAGAGTGTATACATGAAATACATGAAATTCAGGTTCTCCAAAGAACCTGATGAAAAGCAGCTTCATCAGTCCTGAGAGCTGTGACAGGGCCACGCCTTTGTGTGCATGAGGGCACCGATCGTTACTGTAAAATGATGTGCTTCACATGACCCACAGGCCATCAGAATTATATTCTCACAACCAGAACTTGTTGCATGAACTTAAGGGCCATGGCCCTTAAGAAATGCCTGGTAGGAGGCACTCATGACAGCGGGTAGTCAGCTTAGTGGTTGGAAGACTTTGGCCCCAATTGTATGTGATGGGAACGCAGTGAGGCTGCTGACCTTGATTGTCAGAAGGAAAGAGATACAGAAAAGATCAAAGTCCTTCCATGCCAACTTTGACCAGTTGGCATTTGAGCCATCTTTTTCTTTAGGTAGGAAATCTTTTTACTGAATGATTAAAATCTAAATGTTGATATTTTTTTTTGCTAATTTTAAAAAAGTTTTCTAATATTTAATGATGTCTTCTCTTGCCCTCCATGCCTTACCTCCTTTCATTCCTTCAGAGGAGATTGGTTCTTGCTCTTTGGCTATTTTATGTTGTGTTCATGTCTTCTTTCTGTATTGCATTTCTGACTGCTAAATGGATTGTCTATAGGGGCTATGCACTGATTTTCAAAATTCTTATTAGTTTTTATTTGAAAGGCAGAAAAGAGAGAATGAACAAGAATGCACCTTTCATCTTTTAGTTCGCTCCTCAAATTCCCACAACAGCTGGAGCTGGGCCAAACCAAAGCTAGGAGCCAGGAACACATATCTGGGTCTCTCCTGTGGGGTACAGGCACTTGGTGCTTGAGCCGTGTCCTGGGGCATCAACAGAAAGGCTGGATTGCCGAAAGAGATGGCACAGGACAGGATCCCAGGCACTCAGAACAGGACACAGGTACCCTAAGCGGTGGCTTGACCTGCTACATCACAGCACCTGTCCCAGGACTGCATATCTAATGCAGCTTGCCTGGGGCCCCCCTGCAGGAGGACCTAATTCATAGGTGGTATGGAGAAATGTTTAGAAGTTTAGATACCATGAGTAGCTTGAAGAGATGGGAATTTTAGCACATTAGCAACTCATTGAGAAGATTAAAGCTTTAAATATGTATATCTGTGATAAAGTATCTGTCATAGCATCCATCATTTGCATGATTTAAGTGTACAGTTCGGCAGCATTCAGTACACTCACACTGCTAAGCAGCCAGAGCTACGATTCACCTTGTGATACAAACTCAGAGCCCATGGAACAAGCCACACTGGGTTCCCTCTGCCTCTAGGCTACGGTGAGTAATGCTGCTCTGTGTACACAGATACCTTTGGGAAATTCTGTGTTCAGTTATGTAAGGTATGCATTCATAACTGGAATGCCGAGGTCATGTGTTTTTGTTATTAACCTTCCCATGTGTTTGTAATAAATGGCTTACATTTTGTCTTAATCCAGTTTTTCTAGAGGGATACAATTCAGGAATGCATATCATTACGTCCTTCTCTAGCAGATTGCCACCCTGTGTTAGAATCAGCTCGGTTTGCCCACATCATGAGTAAGGATCTCGAACCAAGGCTATGTCAGGCTTCATCTCAACTTCCAACCTGTGGTTGGGCTTTGAGCAAGTGCTTGACACCTTACATGTGCTATTCACAAACTTGCTCTCCTGTTCCCAGAGTGTCTAGGATCATTACCACCATCCTGCACATGGAGGTTTGGGCTCAGTCTTCTGCTAAATGCCTGGCCCGGGGCCTGGGCCCTTTGCTGGCAGTAAACACTGAAATGCCTGTGAGAGCCCTGGCAGCAGATGGCCCGTGGTTCGGAAGTCGTGGGCTGGCCTGCTGTCGGCCCCTCTCACAGCACACCTGTCCCTCTCTCTGTAGTCATACCCTGTGGTCGCTCCCTCCTGGACCATTTTCTGAATGTCTCTAGGGAAGATTTATGCAGAAACCTGTGTGAGCTGGCTAGCTGCCATCACTCTTGCTGGGTCTGGCCTTAGGAGCTGCTGGTCTCAGAGCCCAAGAATGGGCTCCCCCTGGACTGATGCTGGGCTCCCATCAAGGGAATGGCCACCTCTGCACTCCTCCTCCCATGCTCTGAGAGCAGGAGGCCTCTCAGCTGGCAGGGAGGGTGCTGCTGGGCTCAGTAGCTGCTGAGGACTAATGAGATTGTCTGCCTCTGCAGATTGCCAGGCCCTGCAACTGGAGGCCTGATAGTGTTTTTGAGTCAAAATTGGAAAATGAAAATCACACCAGAGAGCAAGCCTTTTAGCAAGAGCTTAGCACACAAGGCTGGTGGAAGATTCCATTTTCTATGAAAGAAAAGCTCCATGCTAAGGGGCAGTACTTAGACCTGAAGGACCTAGGAGAGGGTTCCCAGTCTGAAAATATCACAGCAGTGATCTCTGCGCAGCAGCAGGTTCCCGAGTCCACGGCTCAGCCATTGAACAGCTACTGAGTGAGCAGTTCCTGAGTGTGTCCAGTCATCAGAGGCCTGGGAAAACGCAGCATACATGAGGGCAAAACAGTGACATCCTTGCTTTCACCAAACGTGCATTTTAGCCTTTCCGGTAAGATCTGCCCTAATCACATTTCTATTAGCTGAAGAGCTGGGAAAGGTTCCTGTAGTAGGTTTGAGCTAGAGTCAAACCAACCAAGTAGCTGGGCTGTGGGTTCCATGGTGTGTGAGTGCGTGTTCAATTCCATTATTTCCTGAGTCTTGGCAAGTCATGACTGACTTAGAGTTGAGCAGAAATGATTTATCCCAGAGCCTTTGGGTTGATGGAGCTAAAACCTGCTGGAAGCTGAGAGCAGCAAAGGTGTGTGCAGTGCAGCCACGAGGAGAGCGATGAAGTGGATGTTGGTTCAGCTTTGAACAGCCTTGTGCTGAGGGAGGGGGTTCTCATTTCTCAGCCCCTTGCTTGTTGCTTGCAGGGAACACCACCCCAGAAGGGGCATGTCTAGTTCCGATCCAAACATTTGTAAAGAGAATGATCAGGTAAAACCTTCAGGAAAGGAGTTTACCTGTAAAGGAAGCAAAGAAGCATCTTTCTTTCTTTCTTTCTTTCTTTCTTTTTTTTTTTTTTCCAAATAAAATCCTCAGTATTTGAAGGGGAGGGAAGGGAAAGGACTGCCATCATTTCTGAGTTTGCTTAAATCCATGCATGGTGGACAAGAGGTACTGCTTCCCACGATTACCACCAAGTCCTGACAGCAAAAGCCAGGGATGTACTTGCTTTTGCTCATGAGTCCAGGTTTATGGGAGCATTCAAGATGTCTTGTTTTTTAGGTAGGATGTTATATGACCCTGCACTTTGTGTTATTTCATGTGCAAAGTGTTTCCTGCTTATGATACAGGAAGTGCTCAAACTGACCCAGGGCAAGGTGACATGTGCTTCTGTAGCTTTCAACTTCCCTTAACTGCAAGAGGGAGAAGAGCCTGGGGAACTCCAGCTCCCTGCTGAGGCCTGGGAAAGCAAAAGAGGACAGTCTAAAGCCTTGGGACCCTGCACGCCCCTGGGAGATCCAGAAGAAGCTCCTGGCTCCTGGCTTCGGATCCAGCTCAGCTCTGGCCATTGCGGGAGTGAATTTGCAGATAGAAGATCTTCCTCTGTCTCCTTCCTCACTGTCTCTCCTCCTCTCTGTGTATTTGACTTTCCAATAAAGATAAATAAATCTTTAAAAAAAAAAAAAAAAGAACCAGGGGAAAGCATAGCTGCAGATTTGGATATATTTCCTGTGCAGGCAACAAGCCTTTGCTCCACGGTTTTCACTCTGGGAGCTGCTAGAACCACCTGGCGGTGGTTCACAACTGTTGCTAATAAATTCATTTAATTTGTCTACATTGCAGCCTGAGCCCTGACATATTCGGAGTATCCTTCAGAATTGTGTCCTGCAGTAACTCTTGGGATGCTCAGCCAAGGTCGTGGACTGCTGCAAAGTTGGGACATTTGCCAGTCACACATATTGTTTCTTAAGGCTAATGTAAAGCTTGGTTAAGTCACACAGTTGGGTGGATGCCTCCAGTTCTGTGCTCGCTGAAGGAAGACTGGAGAGAAACGGAGCTCTGCCTGAGGATGACCAGTACGGCTGTGTGGTGTGCCGGAACCTGAACTGAACCCAGAGGTTGTGGAGACTGATCTGCTAGCGCAGATCTCATGAAGACTTTCATTTTGGGTGCTTAAAGGTCAATGTATGATTGTTGTTTACATGGCTTGGTATGACTTAAAAACTAATTTGAATCAGGTATTGACTTTAATAAATACATTTTAAAGCAAGATTCATGTCTAATTATCTGTTTTAATGGTGATACAAAATGATGTTGGCAGCTTTCCTTCAGGAATGGTTCAAGAATATTCCCAGATTTTTATGTATTCTTAGCTCCAAATAGGTGACATTATGTCATGTTCCTAACACGTGAGTGGTATTTTCCCTTCACATAGTTGTTTTGTAAAGGATATACAACATGTGTCACCCCTAGCTTCTCTCAAGAAGTTTATGACCTCATTTCTGTGTCTACTGATCCACCAAAGTTTATGACCTCATTTCTAAATGTGCCAGTCCACCAAAGAGGCTGCAGTAACTATTTGGATGTCTTCGTAGATATTTCTGAACTGAGTAGCAATTTGATCAAAGAGACAATCTCAGGCATGTCGCTGTGGCAGGATGGAAAGGGAACTTGCACTGCAGGCAGGAACTCAAGTCCTTCTGCCAGATTCCTTCTCTGCAGGGCTCTGCAGCTGAAAGCCACACTTTAATGACCACAACCCTGCTTTTCACTTGTTCTAAACAAGCTGGTTATATGCCTCTAACTTGAAGCTTGATTCACATTTACTGCCAACCTCGGCCCTTGACCCTTTGTAAGGACAGAGAGGTAGATGAAAGAGCCTATCTACTGATTCACTCCACAAAATTATACAGTGGCTGTGGCTAGGCCAGCGAAGGCTGGAAACCAAGAACTCAGTCCAGGTCTCCCATGCTGGTGGCAAGAACCCAATCCTTTGAGCCATCATCACCGCCCGCCATGGTCTGATTCGTCAAGAAGCTAGAGTTAGGAGACAAGCCACGTGTCAAACACAGGTACTCTGATGCGGGATGCTGGTGTCTTCACCAAATGCCTGCCCTAAGACATATTGTCCTACCTAAGCAGCTTTCATTAATAGCACACCAGGTGTCCTTATCTGTGAGCTATTATCTCTACCTTCAGTGCCCCTGAGTCACAGCTATGTGCTCTGCTCAGGGCTGGCATCCTCGTGTATCTTTGTCTCCAGCCAGGGACTATGGGCACAGCCTGGCCTTTGTGGAATCATCTGGAAAGCCTTGGCATGGAACAGGAGAAAAAGACTTAAAGGTGCTATATACAATTGATTATGTTTTATCCAAAGAGCCCCACAGGCTTCCATGAGGCTGGGTCTAGGGCTTGGCTTCTCAATGCACATCTTCATCTTCATAGACTTGGTGGGGCATGAGAGTGGACTCTGTGCACACTCTGACCACAGCACTGCTGCTGCTAGAGACCCCCCATCTGGGCCTGCAAGGGCGGAGTATACACTGTGGTTCCTAAGAATAGACCTGAGGAATGGCTGTGGTCCTTCTGCTCCATCCCAGTAGAAAAGCTCACAGTCTGGAGGATTTTATTTTAGTATCTACTCACATTTCATTATACTTGGCCATTTCATTTTCCTTGCTTTGGGCAACAAATGGCTCCTCTTGCCTGCATGAAAGCAGCTCCTCAAAGGGGCGGTGGTGAAAACGCTCATCTGGAGTCACTTTGTCTGGATTCAATCTGCTTCTTTCATTCCTTTTTTTTTTTTTTCTTAAAGATTTATTTATTTGAGGGCCCGACGGCGTGGCCTAGCGGCCAAAGTCCTCGCCTTGAACATGCCGGGATCCCATATGGGTGCCGGTTCTAATCCCAGCGACTCCACTTCCCATCCAGCTCCCTGCTTGTGGCCTGGGAAAGCAGTCGAGGACCGCCCAAAGCTTTGGGACCCTGCACCTGTGTGGGATATCCGGAAGAACTTCCTGGCTCCTGGCTTTGGATCGGCATAGCATCGGCCGTTGTGCTCACTTGGGGAGTGAATCATCGGATGGAAGATCTTCCTCTCTGTCTCTCCTCCTCTCTGCATATCTGACTTTCCAATAAATAGATAAATCTTTTTTTAAGATTTATTTATTTGAAAGGCAGAATTACAGAGAGAAGGAGAGGCAGGCAGAGAGAGTGAGTAAGCACTTCCACCTGCTGGTTCACTCCTCAAATAACTACAACATCTAGTGCTGAGCCAGGCTGAAGCCACAAGACTCCATCTGGATCTCCACCTGGGTGCAAGGACCCAAACACCTGAGCCGTCTTCTATTGCATTCCCTAGGCACACTGGCAGGGAGCTGGATCAGAAGTGGAGCAGCTGGGGCTCAAACCAGTGGCCACATGGGATGCTTACATTGCAGGTGGCAGCTTAACCTCCTATTACACAATGCTAACTCCTAGATTTGTTTTCTGACTCTACCTTGCAATACTACCGTAATCTCATTACTTATCTCTTTGGGCATTGTTTCTCTTCACTGGAGTTGGCTGATGGAATTAAGTGAGAAGCACTTAGCACATATTCTCTTACTATTACAAATTTTGTTCCCCCAAAGTACCTGTGTTTAAACTCTTTCGTAACTATAGAATGTGACTGTATTTGGAGATAGGGTCTTCCATGAGGCATTTCAGTTACAGGGAAGTCTTAGTGATGTCCCTAATTGAACATGACTGGTATTCTTCTAATTGGAAGAAGGGGATGCTGAGGGCACAGAGCAAGTCCCCATGAAGACATAAAACTCTTCCATCTGCTGGTTCACTCCCCCCAAGTCAGCAACATCCAGGGTTAGGCCAGGCCACAGCCAGGAGCCAGGAACTCGATCTGAGTCTCCCGTGTGGGTGGCAGAAATCCAACTACTAAAAAAAAAAAAAAAAAAAGAAAGAAAGAAATCCAACTACTGGATTACCACTTGTTGTCCTGCATGAACAGACAGTTGGATCAAAAGTGGAGGAACTGGGACTCAAACCAGGCATTCCAGATTGGTTTGAGTTCCACGTTTTAGTTTTGTTTTATTTATAAGATAGATTGACTGATATTACTATACATAAAAAGCCATTTTTTTGAATCTGAGGTTTAATATAACCCCATGATACAACCCCTAATCTTCTCTTTCATCAGTATGTTTTTACAGAGTTCATTTATTTGAAAGGGAGGCTGACATGGTCAGAGTGAGCAGTATCTTACCTCTGCTGGTTTACTCCCTAAATGGCTGTGAAAGCCAGTGCCTCCATACAGGTTTTCCATGTGCACAGGGATCCAGGCGCTGGTGCCATTTAATGCTGCCTTCCCAGGCACAGCAGCAAGGGACTGGATGGGAATTAGAAGAGCTGGGACTTGAACCAGCATTCTGATACAGTATGTTGGCATCCCAAGCAGTGGCTGAATTGGCTGTACCGCACTACCTCTGTTTAGCCAATATTTTCAACCAGGCCACGGTATCCAGGTACACAGGTGCCATACATGAAGTGCCAGTTAGAAAAGGTACCTTTGATCAGGAACTGTGCAGGGTTTGGTAGGAAGAAGAGCTGTAAGGTTATGAGGTGTTGCCTGCCAGGTGTGTTAGCTAGCACCAGCCTAGTTACTCTCACACTCTTAACCCTTCTGGCTTCCTTCCCTCTGCAAACCCTTTAGTGCTTTGCACAGTAGGTGCTGCGAGTGTTACCTTAATGTTGCCAGTGTGGGCTGAGCTGTCTTCCTCCTCCAAGACCCATTGCCAAGGGCACTCCCGCAGGTCT